GGACCACGCAATGCCATGTGTCGTTTGGCCCAATGGGCCCCGAGACAGTCTACTCTCTCAAAATCCTATTTTGACTAAGAATTCTAAGTTTGTTTTAGCTAGAATACTATGAAAAAATTCCTAAAAACCACTTATTCCTAATCAAATTGGGAATTGGAGATTAGTTCAATTATTTTCAACCCTAACCCTTACTAAATTCCATAAATGGCCCCTCTAAATCCCTGTAAAATTAATCTAAAAATCCCTAGAAAATATTTAGAAATTCCAAAAAATCCAAAAATTAGGAAAATAGCCCAAAATATTAGAAAAGTAGCCTAGAAATTCCTATAAAATTTAGGAAAAATACTCAACATCTCAAACAATCCCCAAAATTCGTGGAAATTGTAAAAACCTAAAAAAAAAGCAGAAATCCATCAACCTTCCTTAGAAATAATTAGGGAAATCTACACATAGGATCCCTATGCCTTCTTCACGCCCTAGAATCACCAAATCTAGGGAAAATCAACCCAAAATCTAGGAAATACAGTTGCAAAGGTGTTCAAAATAAGAGATGGTGGCCAAAGGGCAACCTGATCGGAGCTCGAAACTCTGTGTTTCAGGTTCCCAAGGTAAGTAGTTCTCTCCCTATTTCTTTTACTTCATAAATTCGCCAATTTTAAATTATATTCTATAATTTTTTAGTTTATTTTCATTCTTAGATAAATTAGTTAAGAATTAGAGGCTTTTTAAAATCCAATAAGCATATTCTAGAGCTAGCACTACCAATAGATTTAGAGGAGAACTAGTTTTGCAAGATCTACGATGCTTCTAAATCTATAATTTGAGTGACCTCCACTCTCTCTATTGATTTACAATTTTAATTTGTTTCACAAGAAATTTGGGTTGATCTCGCTTAGAGATTGGTCTAAGTTCACGCGTAAACATAGTAAAATAAAACTAAAAGATCAAAATGAAGAAAAGTAATGAAATTTACAAACTGACCAGGGCCTCGCAGCCTGGCACTCGGAGTAGAGGCCTTGATCAGGCTTAGATTGATTGAATAAACTCCCTCTGATGAAATAAATAACTGGTTTTGATCTGTTAATGAAGTGGGTTTAAGAGGGACCTAGGATTCTAAAGATTTAATGTCTTAAGTTGAAAAGATGAAGTTTTTCTCTCTGAAATAGGTGTCTATGGCTACTGGAAAAATAGGGTTTTTTAGGCTCTTAGTCTATGGTTTACTAGGACTAGGGTTAAGGTTAGGCTAAACAAGAGAATTAGGGTTTTCTCGAAAATATTTGGCCCTCCTTGTAGGGGTTGAAAATGAATGTTTTTATAGACAAAAATGACTTAGAAATGTGGAAGGTGGTTGTCTAGACCAATCAAGAGCTGACACTTGTTCGTGCCACATGTTTCGACACAGATCCGATGTACGGCGCACCCCAATTCCCAATGCGACGTGCAAGTGACTCAATTTAGTATAGATTTATTCATGATTGTGATTTTAATGGTTAAATCTTGCTATGGTCCACGATTTATGAAGTTTGGCAGTGTCATCATATCATCCTTCCATCTTACTTATAAAAATGTTATTTTCGGTTTAAGATCTCCTAAAACAGACTTTTATAGAATCTTAGGGATTCTAAGGGATATTCTAAACTGGGTTATGGTCCGGACATAACTATAGTGTAGTATGTCCTATGGCACACCAAGGTGGTGTGGTCCTTACGGTTTATCTAAGCTTTCTACTATTTGCAACTATTCCATCTCAAAATCATACTATTTTAAATTAAATAAAAATAATAGTATAATATTAAATTATTCATTTCTCATAGAATAACATGATAAGTATTCTATAAGAGTCCACAATAGGATCATTAAATTTCAAAAGATTCATATCATCTATCTTCTCCAAGTTTAATGCAAAGTTTGGCGCTATTAATTGTGAGGTCTTTAGACTGTTTGATTAGGTAAATTTTGAGGCAGAGTATACCATGATGCACACTGAAATTGCATTGGAATACCTGCGTTTCGAATGTCCACCTGAAAGATAATATCTTGAGACTTCTCAAAATACTGTAGTGTTAGGGGTCATGAACATCCAATCAAATTGATGTACAGTGTTGAACATGGGACCCGCTAAACTATGATTCAAGAGCTCAAATAAAGTGCTTCGTCGGGAGTGAATGTATACTTTCTCCGGATAAAAGACCTTAAAAATACTTGTTGTATCTAAAATTTTGAGATCCACCTCGGAAACACACCATGATATTTGAAAATGAATAATTTTTGCATGTTTAAATTCCAAGATGAGGCCATATTTTCTTTTAGGGTAAGGTGTGTCAACCTTAAATAATCACGATGGGACGTACCTCAAAATCTCATTAAAAGAAGTATTTCAGTGCCAAAACTCTTATCATGGCTTTACAAATCTATTTTTCATCCCTATAATGAATTAAAAGCTCCGAAATTGGTACAAATCTTGCAGATCTATGAGCATTCGAAAATCTTGAAAATAGACGGGTCTAGATAATATGTTAAAAAATACTATTTTTAAGACTTGAAATTCATTTTTTATTTCGTATCCATATGTATAGAGGTCAAGATGATTAATCAGGAAATTTTCTAATGATGAAACAACCTTTGTAGATGATTTTTTTACGTAAGATTGACACCTTATGTAAACTTTTATCTTTTCTTTTATGGGAAAGGTTTCTATGTTTCCCCTACAGCATAGAAGTTATATCCTCCCCTTACCATCTAGCCGTCCAATTTTGATCAAGAGAGCTACTCACCATTTGATCTTAGATCCGACGTCTCAAAGTATTTTTTTTTTAGTTTTTTTTATACAAATTGAATGAATATGAAATTTGGTACGTGTCATCTTCTCATTGGGGCGCACCTATAAAAAATATTAAAATTAATTTTTGATAAAATATAATAACCAAAATACCCCTTGAATTTTTTAAAGGTATTTTGGTCATTTTATTTTATTAAAAATATTTTTTTTTATATTTTTTGGTAGTGTAAGTTTAATAGAGGAATGGAAGTCCAAAATTTGATGTCAAAATAGTTTATAGAAAAAAAATTGAAAATAAAACAGTGTAGAGACATGGTGATTGGGGCAATCTTAGCCCTCTATTCAGAATGGACGGTTGGATAAAGGGAAAAATAGAAATTTTACGCTGTAGAGGAAACGTAGAAAGCTTGTAGGGGAAACATAAAAATCTTGCCCTTCTTTTATGAGGCTGGTCCCTAAATAGTTACATATCATCTTTTTTACCTTGAAACTCAAATAACTCCTTGCCATAGATAATTTCATAGATATATTACCCATCAAAGTATGGAAACCTAGGTCCGTTGCGACACTGATGCAGTCTCAAAACAATTGGATACAGCTGAAACTAGTGTACCATGACTCACCCGAGTCCATTTGGACTCGGGCCCCGAGTTGGATGCACAACAAGGGGACATAAAAAAATCCTAAAAATAGACTTCAAAATTTATTGGATTGTTTTATGAACATTTTGCATATAATTTGGATATATTTTGGCAAAGATTGGTGAGTGTTTTTTTTTTTTTTTGCTATGATTATTATTTTTATGTTTTCCTATTTTCTGGAATTTTTAAAAGGTGTGGTTTGTCTAAGGTTGGGGCTTTAAACAATCAAAACAAGATGCACCTTCAAAGAGCAGTGAAAGATGTGGTTTCAATACCGAAAATCTTTATGATGGCTTGAAGTTTTAATTTTATCTCTAATTATAAATATTAAAGCTTCAAAAATAATATAGATCAAGCAGATCTATGAGCACTTGAAAATTGATGGCCTAGATAATGCATTACAAGATGTACTATTTCCAATACTTGAAGTCCATTTGTTTTATGTCTATGTATCTCAAGGTCGAGATGATCAAATTTAAGGGTTTTTACATCGAAATAATTTTTTCTAGTGAAAGTTTGAGGTGCACCTTAATTTGATTGTTTAGGGCGTCAACCTGTATAAAAATTTCCCTTTTTTAAATGTCCCATATTGTAAACTTGTATTTCTTAAAGGGGCGGTTTATATAGATCCAAAGCTCTAAACAATCAAATTAGACGCCACTTATAAATAGTGTCGAGAAATATGGTTTTAATGCTAGAAGGTTATGTGATAGCCTTAAATTATATTTTCATCTTTAGTTATAAATTTAAGCTTCAAAAATAGTGTAGATCGAGTATATCTATGAAAACTTAAACATATTGAAAATTGATGATCCACAAATGTGCTACAAGATAAGATGCACTATTTCTATACTTTGAAATCCATTTTTGTTCTCATATCCATGCATCTTGATGTGGAGATGATCAATATGATGATATTTGAGCATCAAAACAACATCTTCATGTGAAAATTTTGAGGTAGGCTCTGATTTGATTGTTTAGAGCCTAGGTTTTATATAAAATTTTCCCTTTTTTAAATCCATTTTCCTCTATATTTCTAAACTTAGTTTTAACTTTTTAAAGTTGCTTTATGTTTAGTTTGCTTTTACTACATGTTTTTTGTTTTCTATTTATTTTTTATTTTTGTTTCTTATTTTTCTTTTTAGGGCCAAAAGACCCAGTGCTAGACTCAACTTATCGAGTTACTCGCCTTGGCCAGGCCTAGCCAAGACGAGTCCTAAGAAAACGTTTTCTCTTCTATGAATTTCCAAAATTTTAGTTTAGATTAAATTGATTGGCAAATAACTCGCGCGTTATTTTGATATATTTATCGATTTAAAAACATTCTCCCAGTACACATGCTCCCCCATGAGCAAAGCTTCTCAACCAACAATTGGGACATCACACTCACATACCAACCGCTTCAACGGACATGATACCTCCCTCCCCAACTGCCTCTTTCATAAAAATCTTAGAAACCAAGTTCCCTACCCTTGCCTCTTACTCAGACATCAACAGCCCACCTGCAAAACTCTCTCTCTCAAATAATGATTCTTCTTTCATAAACAAAATACCACTCGTAATGTGGCATATAAGCCTCAACAAGATTCACCCAACTCTCTCTCTCTCTGAAGACATCTGATAATTTGGAACATCAAGGAAAACCCCCAACATTTTGCTGTTCGCAAGGGCTGATTTGATCCTCTTTCCCAAATGAGGTAACCTTAAGAGAGCTGTGGACTCAAACTATTGTCCTCCATACTAGATCTTATCAACTGCCCATCCTACCTCTACGTTCTATGAAATTAATCTGGCTATTGAAAGAAAGATTTAGAACCCAAGCCAGAAACAATGAACAGGTTGCTACTGCAACCAACAAACCCAGACTTTCAGCCCGAATGGGCGCTCGATACTGTCAAGACTGCATTCTTCAAGTGCACCAGATGGCAAGCAGAAGAGACCACAGACCCCATCAACTGCCCTTACCATTACTTCTGTGATAGCATCTACCCAGGAAACTACCCACCCATTATAGACCTCTCAGTACTTTCTCTCACCACAACATGTTTCCTCATCACCATAGGTCTTGCATCTCTAGAAATCACAGGGTACATCGTGGGGGGGGTTAGTTATAATCCTCCAAGAAAGAGGTTTTGGTTGCCTTCTGGCCCACTGTGTCTCCCTCTCATCCTCCTTGCCCTTGCAAAGGGCCAAAGAATCAACACCTTATTTCCTCTCTCTAGCTTGGCACCTGCGCTTCAACAACTGGTCCAAGTGTCTGCGCTAGCATTCGAGAGCCCGGAAATCAAATCAGTCAAGTCTCTGTTTCTTGATGTGTCGTCGGTGTCCGGCATCCTTCACGCCGGAATATATGTAGACTCGGTGGTACTCCCTTACTACACCGGTTTCGAAGCTCTAGTTTTCTCGACTCTTTCCGGAGAGTGTGGGTCATGTGTTTGCAGGAAGAAGGTTCTTGTGGCCGGAGGGATTTCGGGTTCTTATTATAGAGGATGGTCGACCACTATGCTCTGTGTTGTAATGGTGTTGTTTTGGAGGTTGGCTTGCAAATTGTTCGAAAAGAGAGATAAAGTGAGTTTGAGAATCAAGCTAGCTTTAGAGGGATTGAGTTGGTTTTCTTCTTTAGCTGACTCTGTTACTCTACTGGTGATTTCAATGCGAGGTGGGAACCTTGTGGAGAAGGTGATCTTTGGAGGGCTTTGTGGATTGAATTTTCTGCTTATATTGAAGAGAACATGTAATTTGTTGGCCGCCATGAACGAGGTTCTCTTAGTGAAAAAAACGATGGATTCAAGCCTTAAACCTCCTGTGATTTTCTATTTGAATGCATAAATAAACAATTCTTCCCTACTTTGCCATCACACAATGTTTACATTTATGTACGGTCACAAACAATGATGATCTTTACAGTATTCAAGTTATGACAATGATAATTTGTAATTAATAGAGAAATGGTAGCTCAAATTAACACAGCAAACTCCTAAAATCGATGACAGTCGGTAAATTTGAAATAAGTTATGAAAAATAAATTGCTCAGATTGAACCTTTAGCAGCATTCATCAAATGTGTGACCAAAGAATCTGCCCCTTTTTCACTATCCTTTTCTATCCCTTTTCTATTGTCCTTCTCCAGTATGTTTCTCCCTTTCTTTTCAAAGTTAACTCTAAATACAGGTGTTGAGAAAATCAACTTGGCCAAGGTATTCGGCCCTGGCCGAGGCTATTTATTTGGGCGAGTACGAATAACTCGCCAGAGTCTAACTCAATTTTTTTTTTAAGAAAATGAAGATTAAAGCCAATTAGAATACAAGCGCCACTTTTTAATATTAAGCCCCAAATTGGTGCGTTGGTTATTGCTCCCGCTATAAATAGACTTGTCTTGAGATTCACTCTTGTGGAGGCCACTCCCCCAAAAAAACAAAAAAAAATCAAAATAATACTTTAACATATTTGATTTAGATTTGAGGTATTAATATAATTAAATTATAAAATATGACTTACAAGTAACTCGCCCAAAACTCGATGCTCAAAATCCTCAAATCGAGCATCTCGGCATGAAAAAAAATTGGATTTCAAGTCTTGAAAAGAGTGCATCTTGTAATGTATTTCTGGACCGTCAATTTTCAATATTTTTCAAGTATTTATAGATTTGTTCAATCTGTACTATGTTTGAAGCTTTAAATTTCATAATTAGATATACAAATAAAGTTTCAAGCCATCACAAATATTTCAGTTCCGAAAAATATATTTCGACACTATTTAAAAATGTGCCTTACTTTGATTATTTGGGGCCTCGGCCCTTTATAAACAACTCCCTTAAAAAAAATAAAGCTTAAAACATCATCCACCTAGCTAGCCTCTCACTACTGGAGGAAGGAGAGAGTGGGACTGGAGAGAGAGGATGCTAGGGGTGGCAGCGGGTTGGGTCTGGCTGGAAATTTTAAAGTTACCATAAAGAGAGAGGACGGAGAGAGAATTCTTAAACTTTAAAATTATTAAAGAAGAATAATACGTCAACGGGTCGGGGGTCAGGTCCGAGTTACCTCGGCCAAGTCTCAAAACGCTGCTTGGTACAATGTCAAATACCAAAAAGAAAAATAGATTGACGTCGATACATCGCTTTACCGTGTGTACAAGAAATATAAGATTATAATGAATAATATGTAACATATACAGATCATATATCTCAAAGGAGGACATGATAAAGAAACACCCAAAATGAGGAGGAAAAGTATGAATATAATCTTCGCGACCATAGGAAATGTGTTATTCATGGTGATCCTCTGTGGATGGCAATTTAGATAAGAGAATCTACCTGAGCATGATGTTCTTTTTATGGACGCCCCAGTCTTCACCATCCAATCATCAATTCGACCCTGAGGATCCCCATGATCACATAGTCATGAGGATTCCCGTGATCGCAATATACTTTCACAAATGAGATAGAATTTGATAAAACCAAACTAATGATAAGTTTGTAAGACATAAATAACCTGAATATGACACATTCATTGAGACAGTGAGACACCCTCAAGTTATAATAATGTATGAAAAGAATTCCTAACTTCCCTGATGATGGGAAAGAAAGAAAGAAGAAAAATATCTACCCTCCCATGAGCTTTTAACCAAGTGGTTGTGGTAGTTCTTTTGGAGTTGACCAATTTTTTAGATAAGCGGTTTTTTTTTTTTAAAATGTTGAGCCACCGAAACTCTGGGTGCTCGAGTACAAAAATGCTTTACGGGTTCAAAAAATTTTTTACAATTTAAAATGACTGCTAGTAAGGAAATACAAAAGCGGGGGTTTGGTGCTAAAAAATGCGCCCAAAAGTGCCTAGTGTGTTCTGCTGTATCATGTCATCGGCTACAACATCGGCTTCGCTACAAATATGTTGCCAAACAACATGAATACCCCTACAAAGGTGGAAAATTCCATCAAAGATGCGGTCCAAGCTCCAACAATAGAAGAAGGATCTAAAGGGCTACGCTATAAGATTTTTAGAGAGACCTCCGATTATCAAAGTGAGGCCCCTGGAGGAGTTGAAGTTGCCAAGTCCTACAAAAGGAATTGTCTATAAAGATAACATTTATCTTTTGTACATTGATGTCACAATCATTCTCACTCATTAGATGTCAAGTTAGATAGCTTGAGGTGAGTCACGAAGTCCGAGAATTTTTTTTTGGAACTTTGTCTCTATTCAATGACAATCTTACAACCAACCATTTTGAAATTTAAGAGATATGAATGATTGTGACCTCTATGTACAAAAGATAAATACTCTCTTTGTAGACAATCCCCCTACAAAAAGGGCTAAGCCTTCAAAAATGTTAGTCGTGTGTCTAATGAAGTGGGAGAAGAAGGAAAAGAGGGCAACGATGTTTGTATCTCTGAAAAAGCCCCTTATTGCTGAGGAACCTGGGTTGCCGAAGGAGCAACCATCAAAATTGAGCTTTATCTGGCCCTGCTCAGATGGCCTTCAGAACGAGTAGCAAGCAATTATGAGGTTCAACAGATTGCTCCAATTAAGGAAATAAGATAGGGAGTACTGTTAGAAAAACTTGTTATTCTTTGCGTGGAAGATAACTACTGATTTCACTTTATCTAAAAGGGCTTCAATGGCTGCCTTATGTCTGTGAAATGCCTTGTTGTTGTGCTTCAACAACCCAAAGAGTGGCATCAACTGAGGCGCGCCAAAGAGAGGACTAGAAAAGTTGACGGATCAAATGTGGGGCCACCCATAACCAACAAAACAAATGTAGTAAGTTCCCCACAATGTGCTTTCAATGTCACAATGGATAAAAAGATGGGCATTGATCTCTTTCTAAACAGTACATATGATACATCTGTTGGGTAATTGTAGACCTCTTCTTCGGAGTTTGTCGATACTAAGGGCTCTTTCAGATATGGTGATCCAAGTGAACACTTAAGTCTTGGGATGGAATAAGCAGGAACCAAGCTTTAGGTGTAATGGAGGGATGAGAAGTGTATGAGGGAGAGGACATTTGCATAATGCTATAGAAGGCAGAGACAAAGAAGATGCTAGGTGGTCTGGAGACCAAACATCTTGTCAGACCCTAGGGATGAGAGGAGAGGGCCAAGAAATATGGAATGTCTTATTCAAATAGGTGTTGAGGATTGATGTATTGCATTATGAGGAAATAGATCTGCCAAGGTGGAATCAAAGGGATGACTCCGGAGGGCCTTTAAGAGTCCGAAAGAAAATTTATGTATCCGTATATAGGGTATTTCGGTAATTTATACTATCTGCCTGAGATTATATATATTGTTGCGATGGGGGGTTCTTTTAAGGTTAAGGAACAAAGGAGATTTCTCTGTAATACGGAAACAAAGAGAGGGGTGAGGAAAAGAGTCATTGTAACCTTATTCTCCATTGCCAGTAAAGAATCTCTCATCTCCCTTTGGACGTAGCCATATAACCGAACCACATATATCTTTGTGTTGTGGTTAATTATCTCTTTCTTTTGTGTTTGTTTTTCTTTCTTATTTCGTAGATTGCTTTTTCAATTTATACAATAGGTGTCACCTAAAGCTTGGATTCCACACTCTACTACACATATAAGTAGCAAATTCAAGTGATACAATATAAAATTTGTCTTCATTTTAATACATCGTAACTCAATTACATCAAGCTTTACATCATTATATCAACTCCAGCCACTAAACTTGGCCTCAAATACATTTTTAAAATAACAATAAGACTCTGATTGGTTCCTTGTCTTAGTCCAATACATAATATACATTAAGGAGATTGCTTAAACTCATGCGATTACAAGATACAACAATATGCAAAACATTTTCAAATGATAAACAATTTTAGAATTGCATCATACACTTCATATTCAACCTCCTCCTCCACCAAATATAGGAATTGTTTGTGTGCATAGAATTTGATCATGGGAAGCTGATCATAGAGCACATTTTTCCCGGATTACGGCCTTAGGTCTTAGCTAAGCACCATGGGAGGACTTCCAATGGCATAATCATATGCCTTAAACATCATATTCTCTATTCTTTCATGGAACATTTCAATAAATGAGAGGGCTTACCCATTTGGACTCAAAATCAAGGGAAAATATGAGAGAAAAAGAGGCACAAATTACTCTCAATTTGGTGAGAAATCCAATACTATGAGTATGGAGTTTATGTAAATTCTACTTTCAAAATCTCACCAAAATGATCAACAAGAGAGTGAATCAATTGGCCGATTTAGATCAAAATATTGCAAAGAAATTAAACCAACTAAATCTCATTAAAATACTATAAACAATCTCCATAACTTGGATCAAACAATTGAGAATCAAATCATCAACCTCAAGGACCTACTTAAGTACAAGGTTTTATGAATCAACATGAGATTAGATTAGATCATCATAACTTATTATAATTGTGGATTTACAGCCATCAAGAAAGCTTCAAGGATGGGCTCAATGATGATATTTTCGATGAATTAAACAGCCATGGAGCTAGGGTTTCATCTAGGCTTGAGATCAAGTTCAATTGGAGCTTTAATGGAGGTCTCTTTGACTAGATCTTCACATGCTTCCATTCTTCTTATACTAGGATGTAACTTGAAAAAAAGGACAAAAGACCTATTTTTGCCTTGAGTATTAATGAATCTCTATTACTTTGAAAAAATGAGAAAAATATTTTAGAAAAGAGTTTTATCCCTCAGCCCCTTACCCTAAGTTACTTACCCTTAGTTAGCATAACCAAACTTTAACCTACCTTGGTTAAGTCTCTGTACTTAATCAAGGGTCTCCTAAATCCTAACCTAACCACACTTCCTTAACCGAACTACCTAGCCCACATCCTATCCTACTCCACACCCTATAC